CAGCATACATTTTGCTCTTGTTCTTGCTCGTTTCATTTTCGACAGGTTCACTAGTTTTACTCAAACTACAATCTCATCGTCATCTGACTAGAAAATCGCCATTATTGTCTGCGTTACTCACCACCATNAAAGAGGCCGTTGTTTACAGGTTATTACCATTTAGAGGTGGCCGTTATTGGAGGTTGGAATTTAATTTACGAACTTTACATCTGAATTTTGGGGGTGAGAAATTAAGTTTCTCCAAACTTATTCTCCAAATTTTCTAAAATTTCGGGGTGTTGCTCGTTTCATTTTCGACAGGTTCACTAGTTTTACTCAAACTACAATCTCATCGTCATCTGACTAGAAAATCGCCATTATTGTCTGCGTTACTCACCACCATTAATCTGCAAGTGCCTACTGTTTCTCCATCTTCGTGAATAAGTTTGATACAAGATGTTCCCAAGCTTCAACTAACGTCTAGCAAAAGTCCTTCAGATTAAGCGTTTTAGAAAATGAAGCAATTTTCTTGTAATATTCTGCCATAGAATTTATTTCCTGTACATCCTCTCTACTCTCTGATGGTGTCTCGATTCGTTGGTTGAACTAATGCTTTGACAGTTGATTGATGATAAATCATCTGAAAGTCATCGTCAATTGCATTTAGCACGTTAGTTGATTAATGGCATGGTGAGGTGTGGAGTAGCAGCAACACTCTGCCCTGTTTTTCTTCGCATTCATAGAGTCTTTGAACGCTCGATATAAGTTATTTAGTAGCCCATTTACAAAAAACTTGGGAGTTTATCCACCATTTTTGTGCCTTGCGAACGGAGGTTTACAGCCAACATTAATGAAACAATTAGGTTTCTTAGACTGGTACATTGCCACTAAGTTTTTTAGATTCATGCATTATCATTGCTGGTGATTGGAAAATCATCAGCAATGGCAATGCATGAGTACCACCGGTGTTTGCGCAAACTACTCGATTACACAATTCTCTTTGCTAGCTTTAAAGCCAAGGAGCCACAGATTTTGTTGTGAAGCCAGTGACTTTCGGGGTATCTCTTTTCAGTTTATCCCTGCATTGTGAACATCATATTTGGGGTATGTATTCCATGATTTTCATAAACTTTCCTCGAATTCGTTGGCATTTGTCATGCCGCAGGTACGACGACTCTCCTTCAATGGGAAATTTTCTTACGCAATGTCGTGACTTGAAGTTTGTGAGCCAACCATTGCTGAGTGTGAAATCGAAGGTCCCAAATGACTGTGTGTAGCGCCTGGTTACATAAGAAACGACCCGTTTCAATTGGTTTTTTTGAAAGAACCATAAATGAAGTGCGCTTAATTTCCTCATCAGATGGCTCGGTTGTCTTTTATATCTGATACCTTCGTTTTTCCTACGTTATAGTTTCTGCTTTCTCTTCTGTTTAAACACTTGATTTCTAGTTTTCATTCTATCGTTAACACATTACGCTTTCTTTTATATGAAGCGTAATGTGGGATAACAGTGCCCAAAAGCAGCACACACTTCATTAATGGTTCTCGAAGGTACACTTTCTTTCATGTGCTACCTTCAAGTGTCTCGTCGTCGTTCTTCTGAAGATCTATCTGTTCTTTTATATTCGTCTGTTGTTTACTATTCTTTGTTTGCGGGCGAGTGACCCTTTTATTGTCATCCTTTGTTTACGTGTGTTGTGACACAGCAACGCTCATTTACTGTTTCCATGGCCTGAGGAATATATCGGGTGCGGAAAAATACTAGAAGTTCGGATGATGGGGAGTTCGAATAATTGGAGTTTACTTCACTTTATATAAATTTAACACAGGTTTCTCACTCTTATCACTTCTAAATATAGCTATTAATATAAGTCGGCACGTGTAAATGCTGTAAAATTTACCGTATTGCATGCATCTAACATAAGAAGCACCCCAATTTTATAAAAGATTTTCAGGACAATTTGGTGATAATTTAAAATTAAGTATAAAATACAATCAAACCTGTAAGCAACGGCCACTGAGGGAAACATAAAAGAGGCCGTTGTTTACAGGTTATTACCATTTAGAGGTGGCCGTTATTGGAGGTTGGAATTTAATTTACGAACTTTACATCTGAATTTTGGGGGTGAGAAATTAAGTTTCTCCAAACTTATTCTCCAAATTTTCTAAAATTTCGGGGTGTTTCTCTCTTATTATTCTTATTATTTTTTTTTTAAGAAAAAAGAATAATAATAATAAAATTAATTATTATTTATTTATTTTTGATGGGGAGAACGGGGGTATCATTGAATATATTTTCTAATAAAATAAAATAAAGATAAAATTTTCGTCAATTTTAATAAATTATTGAATTAATTAATTAATTAATTAATTAATTTTATAAATTACGTATCCTTATATAATAATAAGAAGAAGAAGAAGAAGAAGAAATTTAAAGTAGATAAAGGGTGGTCTAAAAGTCGGTTAACCGCTTAAATTCTAAATTGCTGGCTTATTCGAATTTAAAATGTGGTAATTTCTAAAATAATATACAGTCAATTATACGCGCAGGGTGGCTCAAAAGTCGGTTAACCGTTATAAAACCTAAAAATTTTTTTATCTTATTTGAGCGCTTTATTACTTAGGGACTTTGCAGAATTTGTTTTAAATGAGTAATAATATCATTTCTTAAAGTCCTTCGATAGTTTGTTCGAGTGACTCATTCGGTTAATCGATTTTTGGTCCACCCTTTACATAAAAGCAGCGATTAAAACAAGATTATTATTATTAAGTTATAAACAAGTTGACAAATTCAAAAAAGATTAGATTAGTTTTTCATTAAATCAGGAATATATGAAGATACGTTCGTATGTCTGATCGTAATCGTATTATTTTTTCGTGCGTATTATCGAAGCTGATCGCTTTAATAACGTGATAGAATGTATACAGTCAGACAAGCGAACGTATCAAGCGAAAAAGATTACTTTTAACGCAAGATTTAAACTTTAAAAAATCTTTGTTATGTACAGTACAGTACAGTACTGTATATTCACACAATAAGTTATATGTAAGTAAAACTAATGCATCACTACTTTAATAACAGGTCTGTGCGCAAATAAACGTGTCGACAATGTTTCAATACATCACTTTAATACCATTCAAAGTTACGACGTTTTTTTTGTGTGTGTGTATGTGTGGGGGTGGGAAATTCAATAAAGGAAGTACTCGGCCGAGACTATTAGTGTAGAGTAATAATAGTGTAGTATAACACACTCTTACAGCAACACTATTATCTACTTCAAAGCTAGCAGCGTAACATCAAAAACTATAAGCAAAGCCCGTATCTAAAATTACGTAGATTGTTACGTTACAATTTAAACAATAATATCTGAAAAGTTTTATATATTAATTGTTGTATGTGTATATTCGTTAAAATAATTATTAAACCGGTAGATTTATTATAAACCGTCTTGACAACTTAATATCCGTTTAATCACTTAAACATTAATAGAGGGTTACGCTGACAAATTGAATTCTGTCACGTTGTAGCTCACTACTATGGATACAATTTACGTAACGTGTGGATAAATTATATTAAAGGTTTGTACGCGTGTTACGCTAATTAATCGAATGAATTTAATATATTATATACTATTTTTCATACGCGATTTTACTGTATAATGTTGTTATCGGTAAACAACCTTGATTTTAGGGCAGAAACCTCGTTGTAACGCTTACGTTACTGGTTGTGGTTCTTTATAAAACATCACATTACACAGTTAACATTCGAATATTTATATTTAACTGTATTTTAAGGTATTTTAAATGGTTTGTATGATTATTACTGTGTTTATTTGTTTATACTTTGATATTTGTTTGTGTGATGTACTGTACAGAGTACGTTTGTTAGTGTGTAGGAGTAGGTGGGTGTGTTTGTATATCTGCTGCGACTATCCTTCAAAATTGAGAATTAGATACGTAAGTACTCGTGATTTTCTTGTAAGAACGAACAGGAAACGGAAGTTGAATGTAAAAAATACGTGTATAACACGTAATATTACGTAATATACCTCTATATTACGTAATATAGTACTTATCTTCTCTTCTGTTTAAACACTNCTATATTACGTAATATAGTACTTATCACTCGCTATATTACAACGTTATATTTTAATTCTTATAAAATATTGTGTTTAAGTATCTTGAAACCAAAAAAAAAAAAAAAATTAATTACTTCGTACGTTCGTATGTCTGACTTTAGCTTTCAATCTATTAAAATTATGAGCTTCGAATTTTGAATTTCTTTTTTAATTATGAAATTTTAATTGTAATTAAAGTATTATATTTTAATATTATGATTTATGATAATGAATTATTATTATTATTGTTATTGTGATTTGGTAGATATTGTTCGCATGTTTGTCATGCTTTTCATAATATATTAATTATTATTTTAATTATTTATTAAGTATTGTTACTCCTTTATTATTTATTGAATATATATCGTCTATATTCATTCTTTATTATATCATATGATGAATATATAAAAGATTAGCTTATTTTCTTTTATTTAATCTTTAAAAATTAATTTTCAAATGAATAAACACTAGAAAAAAATAAGTTTATTTTACATTACAGTCGTGTGTTCTTCGGCTCTTTCTGCACATTAAATTCGATATGCAATAAAACCTGTGTAAGCCGGAATCTCAAGGTATCCAATATTTTTACCGTTTTAGACAGGTTTTACTGTAATTAATATTAAATTTGATCTTTAATAGTTTATTTGTTGAGAGTGTTAGATGTAATGGGTTCAGGTCGATATATGTGTTTAATACGAACCTCGATATAGTGCTCTCCTTAATATCTCTGCCCTCTTAAAGCGCCAGTCAATAAGTATCATGTTTAGCACGCTTTAAACCTGTGTTACCAAGCATAACTCTCATATTTTGAGGCGCTTCGGTTTAGCGTTACACTCGATTTAGTGTGCCATTCTAAGCGTTGGCACTTAATATAGGCACGAATGAGCAACAAATAAAAGTCCTGATGCCATAAATGAAGAACAATTGTTTATAAAATGACGTCAGACAGGTGTTACTTGTGACGTTGCGTAAATGTATTCGCAAAGTTCGTATGTATTCGCGCAATAACAAAACGCACGTGTTGAGCGCTAACGTATTGATTGGTTCGTTGAGACACGCCACTTCCTCCATTTTTAGTATATTTGTAATAGACTAAAACGTAGTGTGTTCATTTAGCGTTTGATCTCCCTCGCTATAGTAACAACTGGCCAAACATCTGTCCAAACGCTCTACAGTTTAATTTTACATTTATTGAATGCGTGCCAACTTTTATCGCATTTATAAATGCCTTCGACGTGTATCATTTAGTGTTTACATTCTGGTGAGTAATTACTTTAAAATTTCGCTTATTTATAATAAATAGGGATTAAATTCCAGTTGTTTAGTGGTTTATAAGTTTAATTCTACTAAAAAATATACTAAATTAAAGGTGTTTAAAGTGTTTTTTTAATGGCAACAGGTTGTCTGGTTTGATAGATTTAAGAGGAAGTTCTTGTCCTTGGAGGGCAAAAAATGTTGCACATGTCGTTACGAAATTTCGAAAATTCTTCACTACTACTTTAGTTACAAGGATAAATAAGTTAAAATGTAATTAAAATTAAAATTATTTATTTAATTACCATTAAACTACGGCTTAAAAACGCTTAATTCTGTTGTAAATTTCAATAAAAATACCTTATTTAATCCTTTTGTATAGGTGATTTTTAGTAGGATAATTAATAAAAGTATTCGATTAATTAACTAAATTATAACAAAATAAATTAATCATGAACGTAATTAAGTATATAATATGAAGATTTCGTATTGTTTTCATTAAGGAATTGATGCAACAATTGCGATATAATGTAGAGAATTGCATACATCTCATTAATGTAATAGTAGCTTAACAGAAGTCGCCTTTGTTAAAAAGTATAATTTTGTTTGATTGCCCTCTCAGTAAATAGACTTGTAGACTTTGGGTAAACATCCCCATGACGTCACAGTTGCTATGAGGAAAAGCGATCATCCGACGAAGAATGCAACAACTTGACTGACGTCAGAAGCGAATGATGTCGACCGGATAATCACATTAACAATTGGTGACAATACTCGACTAATTGGGTGATTTGAGTGCTATTTCGCTCCCAAATAAGTCAAGTAAAAGTTGTAGCAACTTCATTTGCGTATTCAATACACTTTATTATAGAAATGTTGCAATTCTGTTGCAATTAAAATACGCACTCACAAAATCATATCAGCATTAAATGTACAGTCTACATCTTCATTAAAAGTACGCACTCGTAAAGCCATATTAGCATTAACCATCAACCTACTGTACGTCATCATTAAAATACCATTTAAAGATCAATATTTCCATTACGCGATTGATATAAATATATAACTAAAGCTCCTGTTGCGTAGTTTGTGTACAAAAATAAAGTTTTAAATATAATTAATTCTTCAATTAACTTGGTTCGTTTCGTTCATTAAAAATAATCAAGTCATCTTCTCGATTGAACGATTTACATCCTGAACACATCACCTATCATCCTGAATATTCATTATTCTATAAACTAATGGAGTTTATAACTGATGATACTGTCGAGTTAATCAATAAAGAAACGTGTAATATCAATTCTGTACGAAGATGACGCAATTAAATTACAAATATACGTAATTTCTGTCCTCTTAAGACGTATATTTTTCACCTTTCTAACCTTTCTATACAGTAATTTCGCTGTATATTTCATGTTCACAATCGAGCAATTTCGCTGTAAAAATACAGCGAAATTACTCGATTTTTGTGTATTTTACAATGAAAATCGATTTATATTTATGTAAAAATAACTTATCTACGTTTAATTATTCAAAAATTTCATGAAATTTTTGTGTATAGGCAGATTTATAGCGATAAAGAATAGGAATTGCTCTATATTTCATGTCTAGAATGAATGATCGTGCAAAATTTTGTCAGCATTCATCTTATCTTTAATGAAGAATAATTTATGTACTGTACACGTGTAAGCAATTTATTTACGTGTCATTTGTATAAAACTTCACGAAGCGTTTAAATAAAAATACGACAACGAGTTGCATAACTTTCCCGGCCAAAAAAAAAAGGTAAAATTGCGTGTGGTGCCATCTGTTTGGAGATTTTATTTAAAAACTTTTTATATTTTTAATTATTATAAGATGGTAGAAAGTGTAATTTGGGATAGAGAAGGGTTTTATAATAATAATAATAATAAAAGTGCAAATGCTAATAACGAGTAAAATCTTCATTAAGTCCGATTCCAATCGAGATATGACCCCCTCTATCTTTCCACCCTCTCGACCTTTAACCACCAAAATTTAACAGCATTAATGCCTCTAACACACGAACCTCCGTGCAAAATTTCAGAAATTTTGCACAAAGGGCACGCGAGTTATTAAGCTTCAAATTGGGTGAATAAAATTGAAATTCTTAATACAATAAACCTGTAAACAACGGCAACTGACGGGAACATAAATATGACGTATTGTTGGGAGATGGTCTTTGTTTGGAGGTTATTTTGTATGCAATTTTGTACAAAGAAATTTTCATTTTGTATTATTTTGTTTACATGAAATCGCGTATTTAAAAGTAAATATTAATTTCAATTACGCAATTTCAATCAAAATAAATCACTTATTTTAATTATAATTAACTCAATTTAGTTTATAAATTTAAAAAAAAAATTAATTAAAATTAATTCGTACATTTAATTGTGTACAGTACCTGAAATAAGGATTATATCGTGGTTTTTTAACATGTAAATTATTCTAAATTATAATTAATAATTAAATATAACGATATATAGGGGAATATCGCGATATGAGGAATTCACTATATCGGATGATCGTTCCCCCGATATAGTGAACAAGTTTTTTGAATCATACAGTAAATAGCACATAATCAACTCTTAATATAGCGAATAATTTAGCCCAGTTTCTTGAGGGTACGCTATATCGAGAGTGAATTAAATATAATAAATACACACTATACGAATTATAAATTCAAATTAGTATATAAATAATAAAAAACATATACAGTAGACTCTCGGTATAGTGAATGCTAAAAGGACTGAGTTAAGTTGTATGTACAGAATAGTACTAACTAACAAAATTATACGTTATATCGAGTAATCACTATATCCAGAGTCTACTACAGTGAACAATTTTGCTGTCATCATTCTTTACGTGTCTAGCAAACTCGATATTACGAATGATTTAGCTCACTCCTTTCAGATTTCGTTATATCGAGAGTCCACTATTAAATATATAGCCTATATACTATACAGTCGACCCCCTATAACACTTGATAATTCCGTTTTATATGAATTTCATGTTGTACGAGTTACTTAGATTTTACAAATACGTGTGCCAGGCTGTGAACGGCTCATGTATTTGTAAAATCTAAGTGACTCGTACAACATGGAATTCATATAAAACGGAATTATTAACAGTATTATAGGGGGGTCGATTGTATCTTACGTATTAATATATTAGCGAGGTTGCGGCCGAAGTTTTCATCTGTAAAACGTGAACGTCGAACGTCGAGCGCTGCTTATAAGATAGGGCGCTCGATGTTCGACGTTCGACGTTCACGTTTTACAGATGAAAACTTCGGCCGCAACCTCGCTAATAAATTAATACGTAAGATACAATCGACCCCCCTATAATACTGTTAATAATTCCGTTTTATATGAATTCCATGTTGTACGAGTCACTTAGATTTTACAAATACATGAGCCGTTCACAGCCTGGCACACGTATTTGTAAAATCTAAGTAACTCGTACAACATGAAATTCATATAAAACGGAATTATCAAGTGTTATAGGGGGTCGACTGTATAGTATATAGGCTATATATTTAATAGTGGACTCTCGATATAACGAAATCTGAAAGGAGTGAGCTAAATCATTCGTAATATCGAGTTTGCTAGACACGTAAAGAATGATGACAGCAAAATTGTTCACTGTAGTAGACTCTGGATATAGTGATTACTCGATATAACGTATAATTTTGTTAGTTAGTACTATTCTGTACATACAACTTAACTCAGTCCTTTTAGCATTCACTATACCGAGAGTCTACTGTATATGTTTTTTATTATTTATATACTAATTTGAATTTATAATTCGTATAGTGTGTATTTATTATATTTAATTCACTCTCGATATAGCGTACCCGCAAGAAACTGGGCTATATTATTCGCTATATTAAGAGTTGATTATGTGCTATTTACTGTATGATTCAAAAAACTTGTTCACTATATCGGGGGAACGATCATCCGATATAGTGAATTNTATATATTTATATTCTTAAAAAATATTTTTTCTAGATTTATTCCGTATTTTCTTCTATTTCGAAACTCATTTTCTTTACAAGTCGACCCCCCTATAACACTGTTGATTATTCCGTATTATATGAATTCCATGTTGTACGAGTCACTTAGATTTTACAAATACGTGTACCGGGCTGTGAACGGCTCACGTATTTGTAAAATCTAAGCGACTCATACAACATGGAATTCATATAATACGGAATAATCAACAGTATTATAGGGGGGGTTGACTACTTATTTTCATTAATTATGTTTTTTCGTCACACTTTCTCGGCTGTTATATGTAACACCAGGAAAGTATGGCCATAGGTCAAAGCGTGACTCGAAAATTTTGGACATTTTTGAATTCGATGACCTACCTTCACGTGCAAGAATTTTTTCTGTATGTTTGTGTGTTATACACAATTTTATTCAACCAATTTAAAGCTTAATAACTCGCGTGCCCTCTGTCCAAAATTTCTGAAATTTCGCAGGGAGAATTGTGTGTTAGGACCATTGATGTAACTAAATTTTGGTGGTTAAAGGTCAAGCGGGTGGAGAGATAAAGGTAGGTCATGTGTCGGATTTGGAGTGGGGTCGAATTTAATGAAGGTATTACTTGTTATTAGTATTTGCAATTTTTTTTTTAAATATAAAACTCACGTTTACCTTAAAAATTAAGCTTTTTTTTTGCTATTTTATAATAATTAAAAATTTAAAAAGTTTTTAAATAAAATGCTATAAGAGATAGCGCCATACGCAATTTTACCGGGAAAGTTATGCAACTCGTTGCTAGATTCTTTTTAATCTTTTAATTAAAGAAGTTAAGTGATTTTGGGGCCAGTCTATAGTATATAAATACATACATACACAATATATATTAGCTCAAAATTCATTTAATCATTTCTTGTGTTGGGGTATAGTGAATTGTCCCGTTTTTAATTAATGAGAACGTCATTTAAATAACGTTCCCATGATTTAAATGACCAATTAAAAA